CTACCCTTGCTGGATCACTTCCAGCTTCAGGTTTTTGTTGCCTTCCTTTGATCTCAGTGTAGTCACAGGGCATTTATGTTGCATCGCTGAAGCCTGACTTGGACATTTGCAATTGTTAGCAGTGCTGGATTAAGGTAACCTGAGGTTCCAGGTCCAGTGCAATTCAGGAGAGGGAAAAAAAACTGGTTTTGTTCACAACAGTTGCCCTTTTTGCTTTTGTGCAGTACTGAAGTGGTCTGACACTTGACTTCCCAACTTGAATTGGTCGGTGCGAAGGGACATTTTTGGGGGGGGGGGGGGGTAGGTGTTGGAAAAGTCCAGCACCAGTCCAAAATAATAATTGTCAGTGTAGCAGGATTTAAAAAAATAACCTGAAAATGGAGAAACATTTACATTTTAAATTAGCGCAAAGTCCATTTCATCTGACTTTTATGCAAGAGCAGATAGATGGTGCATCTGTTGTACCACCAAAACCATTAAATAAATATTACTTACAAGAGGTGTGTGTGCGTATGCATAGTGTGCCATGACTGGCATCATTTCCCGAAACAGAACAAGATACATTGCAAAATAAATTATTGGTTTAGGTGGTTAGCCAAACGAAAAGTATTAATCGACTTTTCAATGAACAGGCCAACAAGATCGATTACAAAATTCTAACTTGCATTTGTTCAACAATATAAACTTCCAGCGATTTTTGTCTCAATACTCATCAGCCAGCTGTATACAAATAAATAATTTCATGTGAACTAGATGTTTACTTTATGTAGAGAAAACTCGTCTTTTAGTATGAAGAATATATCAATTAATCAATTCATGGGTTAAAATGTATTCTTACACTTGTAATATCTGCAGCAATCATGCACGTAATTATGTTTTGTCGGATGTATGCACATCATTGACAAGTGTAATTTGTTACATGCTTCAAAAATATTGCGTGTTTTTTGCGACTACAGGACGTATACAGAGCGTTGTCCTGTGTAGATTAAAAAAATAATGAGCCTGTGTTGGCAGCGGTGCCACATGTCATAAAGAGTGACTAATAACATAAACAAATACGCAGTGTAGGTGGCTGACATTACAGGCAATGGCTAAAAGAGAGCCTTTTGGTGAAATATCAGTCCACTATATATGTTTCTATTTTAATTCATTGTTCATAACAAATTATTGTTTTCATATTTCATGTTTAAGAGTACTATGTAACTTTATATTAAAACCTCATTAGAATAAGATGCGAATTTCTCACCCATCACTACTGGACATGTGTGAAAAAGAGCTCTATCGCTCATCTGATTCCTCCAGCATGAATACAGATTCATATTCTAAATCTACATTGACAAATAAGTACATTATTTACAGGCCAATTTTAATTTAAACAATATCTCAAATATAGACTCTACTCTTAACATCCTAGTTGTGTCAATAATAACTTTTTTGTTTGAAATTTCATACAACTGGTAACTTTTTGCTTGTCCAAAAGAGATTGTCCCCTTAAAATGTTGATGAGATTTGATGTAAGGCATTTTGAGATGCGGAGGCATTCAAGTACCCCATGAATGCAAAGATCAATATTGTCATATATACTGTATATACGACGGACAAATGGGGAGACATTCTCTGATTCTCTATGTTATTGTCTATTTTTACCAGTTCCAGGTAAAAACTATCTATTTTCCTTAAACTATGTTTGATCATGATGACACTATGTAACACAATTTTTGTTCCTGGGTAGTAAGTGTATTTTCTAATTGCTTATGCCTCAAAAGTATAGAAAATGGCTATTATTACCCACAAACTTTTCATTTGTAACCAGGACTTTATGTGAAGGAATGACACAAATGCACACGTTTTCTCATTGAAAATAGGTACATTTCAAAATATCACTGTCCTGGTCACAAAAGTGTAGTAGGTTCAATGAAACGTAGACGACGTAGTCAGAGGCGCACTTATTTATTATAACGTTTCACTCAGCACAGGCCAATGTATACAATACTCGAAGGGGTAATGGCCCCTTCACCCGTCTAACAGGGAGACCCCAGTAACTCTAACCGGCTAGCCTACTCCCAGATCCTCCACTCGAGAGCTAGGGGAGGCTAGCTGATCCAGCTCTGGTCAAGCTAGGATCATGGCACCCTTAGCCACCAGACCGGCTCTTACAAGAGCATCGGCTCTGGGCTCTCGGGGCCACGCCACTGGCTTGCCCTGGTCGGTCCTGAGAAGGATAGCGATCCAGGGGAGTCCCAGGGCCTATCTAGCCGGTCTTCACTCTTCGCTGGTTTAAGCTAAATACTGAACCCCGAGCCCACCGGCTCACCACCTTATATAGCAACTCCCCCCCGAGGGGTGGGGCCGTGGGGGATCACAGCGCCGTTACAGCCCCCCAGGGCTAACCGATGTGGACGTGGATGTAAGCATCCTTCCGTGTGTGGGCATAACCACCCCTTGTGTGTTTGTTCGCCCTCCCGTAACACCCCTACAAAAGCAAAGTTTGTGGGGAATAATAGCCATTTTCTGTACTTTTGAGGCATAAGCAATTAGGGAATAACACTTACTATCCAGGAACAAAAAAAATTGTTACACAGTGGAACATCAGATAAGCTCTGATTCCACTTGGCAATTTTTTCTATCTGAGTTTGTATGGAATTGCCTTTAGTGTACTGTTTCATTTAGGAATGTAGACTCTGGCACAGGCCAACTCTCGATATCAGATCTTCAAAAATTAGGATTTTTTTTTAGCAAAGGGATAGTTTGTGCTGTCACAATGTGACCAGGAAAATTGCTAAAATTGACAATCTCGTTAAACCTCCCAGATGTCACTGTATGATGTTGGTAGAGTAACGGGATCAACAAGGAAGATAAGGAATTGACTTGAATTGTTAAAAAGTGTATTCTGCTTCAAAATTCGTTTTCAAGAGATATCAGGCCAATCCGCAGCATATTTCATGAAGCTCCAATGTCTCTTTGTATTCTTCTTACCAAGCATCTAAAGCAGGGTTTTGCACTATTTCCACTATTTCAAGACATTTACTCTCCAGGAACCCCAACCGTTTTAGTGCAATGTGGGGGTTCTTTTGACATCTACCCTTAGATTAGTTTCTTACCCACAGTCTGGGAAACCGTGTACTCAAAGTGCAATCGCAAGTTAGTGACCCCACTGTTTCTAAAACGGAACACTTTTGTGCCTCACATTAATTAAAACAGGTGACGCGCCACAAAAGCCACACGCGGGCCTCCTCCGAGTGAGTGTCTCGGCTTTGTCGATGTTTAATTTATGAGATTGGGGGGGTGGGTGGGGTAGTTATCGCACGGACCCGATATCATCTGCCACCGGCTCATATGTCGCCAAAGAAAGGAGATGCTATGCTTGGACACAGCCTGACAAAACACGACGTGGGACCGGCGTGGCTTTTAGCGAGATGAGTGCCGCGCACGTGCCGAGCTGTCCCCGTGTGCGCGCGTCTCTGTCTGCCGTGCAGTGGCGACACCACGCGCCCTCTGCGTACGAAGAGCACGGTTTTTGTGTCGGGGGTGGGGGACGAGAGGCAGGGCGGTCAGCTGTGCGACGCGGATCGCGTTTGTCGTCTCAAGTTGGCTCAACTGAGAAAGGGTGGAGATTCTAGTTTCTTTTACTCAGGGTTTAATGTGAGAAGCAGCACAATACCTCGCCTGGACTGCATCTATCTCTCTTTTGGATCGCGATGAAATAGGGGCTAGTGTGGGTTGGTGAATAGTCATCAGCTGAAGAAGAAGCATTATCGTTAACATTGTCATCATACTCTTTGGTTCTTTCGGTAAAGTCACGTAGGTGTAAAAAAATACCAAGAATAGAATATCTACGTGACTTTACCGAAAGAACCAAAGAGTATGGATTCCTGCAGTCACGAAAGCTTCAAATCAAGATTGTTATCATCTTCATGACCACTATCCTCCTCATTCATCATTTATCAGCATCATCACCATAATAATTACCATTATTGCTGCCATCAACATAATTATAATTATCATCATTCTAATCACTGTCATCGTTATCATCGTTATCGTAATTATAAGGGCTATAGTGCAGCAATGTGGCAGCTTGTGGTGAGATTAATTAGAAAAGGCACCCTTAACGAGAGAAAGCACATTTTAATCTAATCTATAATGGGACACACCTGTAGTACGGAGCTTTGAAGGTGGGGTTGGTGGACCTCAGAGAGATTGTCCACAGTGCCTGAAACAACCATCTGGCAGGGCTGAGGTGGCCAGTTAATGATAAGCAGTTTGTCGACCTGTCTGTACAGATCTTTAAGTTTTGCCTTCTCGTTTGCATGGGTGTATATCCAGTTCTTCCAACAAATGAAAACGATTGACAAAGGTGATGCACACTATCATTAGCAGGATCCTCGTGACAGTCTTGAGATTGAGTGATGCTGTCTTTTGGTAGCTTTTTACAGTTATTAAATGTGTGGTGTTGAAATGTCACGGTATGTTTACTCTCCGTATGTTCTACAATTTTGACAAAATAAAACAACCTCAGGGTTAATCCATGACATATGGACACATGCGTACTCAAATACAAAAGGTTATGAAAAAGTAAAAAATCCCTTACACTTATAGTGGAATAGTTTTTTTATACACGTACACGTATTTTACAGCTGTATTGCTAATTACTTTACATCTCTAACGTCCTTTCAAAATCAGGGTTCATTTAGTAATCCCTTGTCCATAATAACCGTGCGTATCACTTATAAAAATTGTGTTTTGAAATTGTATTTAGGATCGAAAACGGATCATGAATAAAAGATGGCCCAAAACTTAGTTTACCAAGGTAAAGTGTAACTTACCATTTCATGTATATCTTGGTAAACTAACTTATTGGGTGCTAACCCTGCATTGCTACTCTGGGACCCTGCTTTTATGGGATTCAGCCTGATGCACACTTTGTCATCTGTTTTCTCAGTGGTAGGCGTTTTATGAGCTTACCCAGCCACGGACAGATCGGCCAAAGGGCTTTGGGTTACCTTGTTGTCGAGGAGATTTCTCACAACTGTGGGACGGTTCCCGGTCGACGCTTTGTGCACCACGCCTGGTGCCAACAGTCCGTCATCAAACTCAAACCACACGGGCGCCCCCTGTGGGTGATACAAAGAACAGCATCAATGAGCGTTAATACAAAGATGCCAAATTCTAGATTTGAAGTTTTTCGTGACTGCAAGGATCCATACTCTTTGGTTCTTTCGGTAAATGTCACGTGGGTGAAAATGATAATAATAAAATAATAAAAATGTGAAACCGAATAAATTATTTTCGATTTAAAGCGTTCGTGACTGCAGGGATTCATCTTCTTGGTTCTGTCGGTAAAGTCACGTAGAAGGGAAATAATAAAATAATAAAAATAAAACATTAAATAATTCTCACGACGTTTCGGCCACAACGCAAGCAGAATTATTTTATTATGTTTTATTATGTTTATTATTTTATTATTTCCCTTCTACGTGACTTTACCGAAAGAACCAAGAAGATAAATTATTTTCTTTTATTATTATTTTCACCTACGTGACTTAGACCGAAAGAACCAAAGAGTAAGGATGCCAAACTCAACTGTAGACGTCAATCCATTCAGCAGAGAAACTACGACGTCGATTAGTTTAACAAAAATGTACATGAACAGAAAGGCGATCTCGCAGTACGGCACTTTAGATAATGGTGCAAGTTTCCTAAGTCTCCCGGCTTCCGCCAGGTGTGCTGGGTGAAAGTGAAGGTCGTCCCACCTCTTCCAAGACGTCTGGTCAGCGTGGAAGATTTGGGTGAAATACCACATTGGGGACATTCTGAAGAGCTCCCTCTGGTCAAGGCCTTTCTGCCAGCAGTGGTAAGAGAAAGTCATTTCAAGGCTGCATCTTTATCTGTGTGAAAACTATAACTATGTTACGATAAGTTATTGGATAAAATGGGCAATAATACAAATTTTTAGTTCACAGGTATTAGTTTACTTTGTTTTACTTTATTATTGGCCTTAAATTTCAAACATTTTTTAATGTAATACAGTATTTGGGAACCCATAAGACAACATTCTATTCTTGGAAATTTGCTAATGTTATAACATATTTATGTTGTTCCTGCCATCTCCGGAGAAAGGGACAATGTATATCCCACTGGGACATCTTGGAGTGCATAATCTGAAAGAGTGCCGGTTCCCCCGCATTAGTGCATTTGTTTTCAATGTATCTCGAATGACACTGCAGTAATAGTAACATTACAGTCTAGACACTATGCAGAACGTATCCTGGTAAACTCATACACAGCAGTCATATTGAGGCACACGTTTTATCACCAAATTACTGCTGGGGCCTGATTCTTGTGCATCTCAATCATTATAGGAAGCAAGCACACTTATAGCTCTCTCGTGTTTTCGGCGAGTACAGCGTGAAGTTTGGCATGATGTTTGACATTTCTACCCACGTGCTAGAAGCTTCTTACTGAACTGAACAAACTGAAGAAGCGCTCAGCATGTGGTGTGGGTTGTACCGCATGTTCAGTTCCTAAAGAAGCTCCTAGAATGTTGAATGAAACATCAGACATCATGCCAAACACGGCACATCCCAAAATAAACATCAGAAAGCTATAGAGCACAACCGCGAAAACCTACGTACAATTGTGGCAGACTTACGGCCTCCTCGCGTTCATGCGATAATGATGGTTATTAACAAAATGCTTTGGTAGATTAAATGTGCTCATGATTATTCCTTAATGGGTTGATTATTCTTGTGTGTGCAGCTTTATGCAAAGTTACTGCAGATAGTTTAACACCTAGGCTTTCGCGACCAATATTATTCATAATCAACGTTTTTGGGTTAGATCGCGTTATTTATAAATGTGTCGTAACCCTCCACCACCCGATTGGCCGTGTCGGGTGGTGGAGGGTTACGACACATTTATAAATAACGCGATCTAACCCAAAAACGTTGATTATGAATTACTGCAGATACGCTGCCAAATATTTTTGTTACCAAATATTTAGTGATTTTTCTGCTCTATGGTGAGACATGAAAAGGGCACCTGGTTGGTGTCCTTGCTCCAGGCATACAGTATTCCAGAAAGCAAATAGCTCTATTTGTAAACCATAAATCTCCCTCCACCAGGTATAACCAAGAGTGGTAATTTTATAATTATTATTTTCCAGTGTATTCAATTACATAAGCAATTGTAAATCGGATGACACACGGTTACATTGCTGAATATGCATGCAACCTTGGGGGCAAGAGGCACTTCTAGATAACTCTGCCATGGCCACAGTGCGCGACTGAAATTATGTATCGCTTTTCAAACACAATCATTATCAGTCGTAATAAATCCACTGATCAACGAAGGCTTCCCCAAGTCATTGTCATCTGTCATGGAGGTCCATCGTTAAGCGATTAGTCGTTAACGGGGGTGATCGTTAAGAGGCATTCGACTGTAAATGGAACGGAATGGAAGCATACCATTTTGATCTCTACCCTAAACCATATCATTGCATATTATGTTCACACTTTTAACAGACAGTATGGGCCTTTGTGCTAAAACATGCTCTGACAACTTGTTACAGGAACCTGAACCTAAACAGCTGGGACCTTGTCAGAGTCTCAGTTTGACTTTAAACTACACATCACATAGCAGTGGGAAAGCTGTAAGGCTGTGTGGTGGTAGGTGTCCTGAAGACCTGTTGCCTACCATCACAATGTGCCCACTGTTACTGATAATACACCCTATGCAGGCAGCACGTTTGACATCAATACATGCAACATATCTGCACAGGACATGGTGTATTGAGAAATATGTGTACTAGGGCAATTTGATCTCCAGCAATATTTGCCATGCTTTCAATGTAAATAGTTGTTCGCAAGAATTACTCCCGTGGTCACATTACAGTTGGTGTGGATACCACATTGTTTCAAAGGAAAATAACACTTGCAGTGTCAATTCCCAAAATAAGCTTTTACATTGAATGAGCCCAGTGAGACGGCTGAGATCAAGAGACAATTCTGTGTGATAGGAGGTGGCTCTGACAAGGCCAATACAATGAACAAACAACAATAGTATTATGCCTGAGTAAACCCTTCCACGTTTTCAGTAAGCCAGGCATATCAGGAACAACCAATCTGTTTGCACATGGACAGCTTTTGACCACATATCAAGCATGATCCACAACCCACTCGTGTACCACGAGAGTCATAATAGGAGCTCAGTAGTCATAATAGGAACTAAATGCTTGCACCACACGCTCTCTCTAGAATGCTTGCTGAGATATTTTTTCCTCTTATTGGTGGTCCTATGCATCCACCTATCCGCAGCCTCAATCACGTCAAGTGTGGGAGCATAGGCGCAACACCACAAGTTTCAAGTTTCATTTATTAGGTATAGCCCTGTGAGCCATGCGGCTCTTGAGTCGGGTGCAACCGCAACAAACAAAATATGAACAGAGAACATCTTAAAGTGACGACGCGCAACAGAAACATCCTGGATAAACCAACAAATATTCCAGAAGAAAAAAACACCGTATTACAATGCTGTGTGCAAAAATCCCAGTGTGATGCAAGTCAAACAATAACAACCATAAGACAATTTAGATTACAGTTATCAGGCCAACTCCGCACTTCCGCAAGAAAAATGGCTTAACCATATGCTTTCGAAATTACCAAAAAAAAGCTATAAAAACAATGTAACAACAGTAATCATAGGAACTGTGATTCAAATTTAACAATAAACGATATACATAACATGTACGACCAAACTTGCAGCCACCCTCCAGCGCCAACCCCTAGGGTCCCTCTTGGGGAAACAACCCAAGCGAGCCCACCTCCTAGGGGCTCCTCGAGGCAAAGCCCCCAAGCAGGCTCCCTCCTTGGGGGTCCCTTCTGGCAAAACGCTCAAGTGAGCCCCATTCCTAGGGGTCGCTCATGCAAAGCCCCCAAGCAAGCCCCCTTTCCCAGGGGTCCTTCCTGGCAAAGCCTCCGTAAGAGCGCGCTTTCAATCTGCAAGTCTCAACAGGAGTGGTCGATTAACCCCTTAGCCTCCTCCTCCATCCACGAGGTTCTCTAGCTCAGAGAAACTGGTGACAGTCGGCCAAGGGGGAGCGTGGAGTCACATGCCCAAAGTATCGAATTTGGCATTATCATATGATGCAGGTAACAAAACCCACCTTTCGATTTAAAGCTTTCGTGACTCCAGGGATTCATATTCTTGGTTCTTTCGGTAAAGTCACGTAGAAGGGAAATAATAAAATACTAAAAATAAAACAATAAAATTCTCACGACGTTTCGATTGCAACACAAGCAATCATAATCAGGTGTGAAAACCACAGCAAGAAAACACATGATGATGATTGTTTGTGTTGCAATCGAAACGCCGTGATAATTGTATTGTTTAATTTTTATTATTTTATTATTTCCCTTCTACGTGACTTTACCGAAAGAGCCAAGAATATAAAACCCACCTTGGTTTCGTCCAGCAGCCAATGATTAGACACAAAGCCTTCTCATTAGTATCTAAAGATACCTGCTAACAACTGCGTTTAGTCGTGTCCCCAATGATCCCCTGAGCACAAGTACCTTTAACACAGAGCTTCGCCCTTTTACTAAGATGATAGCAATGATAACCACTGTGATTAAGTTAATCCAATAGACCAATCCCAGTTTTCTTGGAACTATGATTCTGAACTCTGGATAAAGCTATTCAGGTAAGTGAACGTTTCCGAGTCCTCGACATTTTCGCCATACTATCTCTGGACGTTCACAAAACAATATCCAATTCATAACATGGAAGAGACATGTGCGTGCACACACACATGCACATGGACCACACATGCAAAGTCAAACAAAGACAAACAATCTCCCAAATCGTCATACGGATTGTTGGGACAAGTGCTTTTAGCGAGCACCTATTAAAGCTGGCCCCAGCACACAGGAGGTGGACAGCGCCACACCCCTATCTCTTCCTCTTTTCATCACCTATTTCAAATCTGCTCATTAGCAAAACTATTTATAGACAGACCACCTGTGCAGGAAATGCAGTGTCGGATTGTACTGTGTACAGATGGCTTTAGCCCACCACCATTCATAGACCTCCCTTCAAGGATGCATGATTGTGGGGA